CTCCCCTGCAGACGCTTCACATGGATGTGTGGGGCCCAGCCCCCGTCCGTGGGCAGGGTCACGAGCGCTACTTCCTGTTGGTGGTTGACGACTACTCGCGTTACACCACAGTCCTCCCCTTGCGCAGCAAGGGTGCGGTCACTGAGGTGCTGATCCACTGGATCCGCGAGGCTTGTCTCCAGCTCAGGATGAGCTTCGGCTCGGACTTTCATGTTCTGCGTCTGCACTCGGACAGAGGCGGAGAGTTCTCTTCTCGCCTTCTGCGAGACTACTGTCGTGCACGGGGGATCGGCCAGACCTTCACGCTTCCGGACTCACCACAGCAAAATGGGATTGCTGAGCGCCGCATTGGCATGGTCATGGATGTCGCTCGTACGTCCATGATGCATGCGGCTGCCCCCCATTTTCTGTGGCCGTTTGCGGTGAGGTACGCGGCGCATCAGCTCAACCTTCACCCCCGGGTCTCTCGGCCTGCGATGTCCCCAGCCTTGCTGTGGACGGGGAAGGTTGGCGATGCGTCTGTGTTCCGTGTCTGGGGATCTCGGGCGTTTGTCCGCGACTTGTCTGCGGACAAGGTGTCCCCTCGTGGTGCTCCCTGTGTCTTCCTTGGCTTCCCCACTGACGCCCCAGGGTGGCAGTTTTACCACCCCTCCTCTCGTCGTGTTCTGTCCTCCCAGGACGTCACGTTCGACGAGTCAGTCCCCTTCTACCGTCTCTTCCCCTACCGCACTCCTTCCCTCCCCCCTCCCCTGGACTTCCTTGTGCCGGTTCCCCCCCCGGTAGACCCCCTTCCCCCTCAGGTTCCTGCCCCCTGAGGTGTGTCCCAGGTAGACGCCGTTGACCCGGTCGAGGTTACTGGTGACTCTGGTGCTGCTGCGGGTGCTGAGCCTGGGGGTGCTGACTCTGGGGGTGCTGTGCGCGGGGGTGCTGGGCCTGGGGGTGCTACTGCGGAGGGTGCGGAGCCTGGGGGTACTGAGCCGGGGGGTGGTGTGCCTGGAGGTGCTGGGTCTGGGGGTGCTGGGTCGGGAGCTGCTGAGCCCGGGGGTGCTGAGCTGGGAGCTGCTGAGCCTGGGGGTGCTGCGTCTGGAGCTGCTGAGCCTGGGGTTTCTCCTGTTGCTGCGTCTCGCCGGGAGCCCCTCTCTCCACAGGAGCTGCGCGAGTGGTTCGCTCGCCGCTGGAGGCATGCTGCTGAGTCTGGAGGTGCTGCTGGAGCTGGAGCTGGAGCTTCTTCGACTGTCGAGGGTGCGGGTGCTGCCGGTCCCGGAGCTGCTGGACCTGCGGGTCCTCCTGGAGCTGGAGCTGCTGAGGGCGTTGGTGCTGAGCCTACTGCTGTTGGTCCTGCCGCTGGAGGTGAGGTTGGCGCTGGTGCTGTCGCTGAGGGTGCTGGTGCTGTCCCTGCTGAGTCTGGAGCTGCCGCGCGGCCTCGTCCGTACTTCGTTCCGCTCCTGCAGCAGGTTCTTGGTCTTTCTCCTCCAGTAGAGGGTCCACCGCCTGTCCAGTCGCAGTCCCTGCTGGATCCTTCCTCTCCACTGCCTGCTCCCTCTCCTTACACTGGTCCTACTGGAGGTCTTGCTGAGCGTCGTGAGCCTGCGTCTCGTCCCGCGTCGCCTGTTCGTGCTGCTCGCGCTAGTGGTCGCAGTTCGCGTCAGCGTCCTCCTCCTGTCCCTGGCACGCACCGGATGTCTTTGCGTCCGTCCACTGCTCCTCTGCGTGCCCCTTTGCCTTCTCCTCCTGAGTCCTCTCTTCCTGCGCTTGCCGATCCTGAGTCGGACTCTCTTCGTGCTGCCAGTCCTACTGTCACGCGTCTGCTTGCTACTGTCGTCACTGACCCCTCTTTTGAGTCCACTGCTGCGTCTGCTCTAGTCGCTGAGCTCGTCGACTTTGCTGCTCGCTGTCGTCTCGACTACGCTGCTAGTCTTGTTGCTGAGTCTGCGTCTGTCTGTCCTCCGTCCGTCGGGGGTGAGTGTGCTCTTGGCACGGACGTCCTAGAGGACAGGCAGGAGGAGTTCCAGTGTCTAGCGGCTGCTTCACCTCATCTCGCGTCTGTACTGCTTGCCCCTGAGGGAGACCCGGATGCACTAGACATCCCGACTCCGCGTTCTTACTCGGAGGCCGTAGAGGGTCCCTACTCCTCTCAGTGGCAGGCAGCTATGGATGCAGAGATGGCTTCCTGGAAGTCCACAGGCACCTACGTTGACGCGGTTCCCCCTCCTGGGGCGAACATCATCAGTGGCATGTGGATCTTCAGGGTGAAGCGGCCGCCGGGCTCTCCACCTGTCTTCAAGGCACGGTACGTTGCTCGTGGCTTCAGTCAGCGGCAGGGAGTTGACTACTTTCAGACCTTCTCTCCCACCCCGAAGATGACTACTCTTTGGGTGCTGCTGCACATAGCCGCTCAGCGCGACTACGAGCTTCACTCTCTCGACTTCAGCACTGCGTTCTTGTAGGGTAGCCTGCACGAGGAGATCTGGCTTCGCCGTCCACCTGGCTTCACTGGGACTTTCCCTCCTGGCACCTAGTGGAGCCTCCGACGGCCAGTCTACGGTCTCCGCCAGGCACCGCGTGAGTGGCACGACACACTGAGGACTACGCTTGCGGCTCTTGGGTTTGCTCCTTCTACTGCTGACCCGTCGCTGTTTCTTCGCACCGACACTTCCCTGCCGCCGTTCTACATCCTCGTGTACGTCGACGACTTGGTCTTTGCCACAGCGGACACTGCTGGACTCGCCTACGTGAAGTCCGAGCTGCTGAAGAGACACACGTGCACAGACCTGGGTGAACTGCGCAGCTACCTTGGCTTGCAGATCACTCGGGACAGAGCACGCCGCACCATTACCTTGACTCAGTCACACATGGTGCAGCAGGTCCTTCAGCGCTTTGGCTTCACGTACTCCTCGCCTCAGGCCACTCCTCTGCCTACTCGCCACTCACTCTCAGCTCTGCCTTCGGATGAGTCCGTAGAGTCGAGTGGTCCGTATGCAGAGCTTGTTGGCTGCCTCATGTACCTGATGACCTGCACACGACCTGACCTTGCATACCCTCTGAGCATTCTTGCACGCTATGTTGCTCCTGGGAGACACAGACCAGAGCACATGGCTGCAGCGAAGAGGGTATTGCGCTACCTGTGCAGTACGTCGGGCATGGGGCTAGTGCTTGGAGGGCGGAGTCCAGTGGTCCTTACCGGCCACGCGGACGCTTCTTGGGCTGACGACCAGGCTACGCAGCAGTCGTCACAGGGTTACACCTTCAGCCTTGGTTCCGGCTCTGTCTCGTGGCGGTCTACTCGCTCGTCTTCGGTTCTCGGCTCCAGTTGTGAGGCTGAGATCTACGCCGGGGCCATGGCTGCACAGGAGCTTCGCTGGCTCACCTACCTGCTGACTGACCTTGGAGAGCCGCCTCGTTCTCCTCCAGTGCTGTACGTAGACAACAAGGCCATGCTGGCCTTGTGTCGAGAGCAGCGCTTGGAGCACAGAACGAAGCACATTGCTCTCCGCTACTTCCTTGCTCGTGAGCTGCAGCAGCGTGGTCAGTTGCGACTTGCGTACGTGGCCTCTGAGGCCAACACTGCTGATGTGTTCACCAAGGCTCTCGCGCCTTGTGACCATCAGCGCTTTTGCACCGAGCTGGGTCTTGTGCCTGTCTTGCCTCACTTGCTCTCCTCTTGACTTCACTTGTACTGTGACATATATATATACCTGCTCTTGCTTGTCTAGTTTTATATATATGTCTGTACTCCTGCATGTGAACTGGCCTCTGGCCCTGCTCTTGTGCTCGGACTGTGTGGTGACTTTGTGATCCACCCTGAGCTTGCTTTGCTTTGCTTGACTGGTCTTGTGACCCCTTGTTCTCCCCCACTTTGCCTATGGGGGTGTGTCAAACATTATATATGTTATGCTTGTGTAGGCTACAGTGGGTTAGCCTATAGGGGGTACACAATTCTAGGGTTTCCTACTTGTACTCATTTCACTGCTAGTTCATTCATTCCTGTTCGCTTATTCTCACACCGAGGACATCCGTGACGCCGCTGGAACAGGAGGACAGTCAGCTAGTCCTATGATTGGTAGTACGCACGCATAATGCGGGATAGCTAGTACAATGCTATGGTAGGTAGTCTTACCGTCATACCCCGGATATACCCCCATGGGGGGCAATAATAAAGCTGGTTTTTTTAGGGGGGTGGGCTTATATTTGAGTAAATTTATAACCGCCGGCGTTCATAAAATGACATATATGTTTTTATATATTCTTGAACACCATACTGTAGATCTCGTGCTTTCCTTTTCAATTGAGACGAAGTTAAATGGGGTCGTCTGTGAAATTCTCGCGCGCGCAGGGAGGTACACCCAATCTGACTCACATCCAGCTCCTGACAGCTCATGACAGCTCCTACTGGCTGGACCCGAATCCAGTGCAGGGTCCGAATGTGAAGGGAACCGAATCTGCAAAACATCTGCCTGCTAAAGTAGAGATCGTTAAAGCGTTTTGAACACATTTCAAAAAAATAAGTTTACGTGCGCTTATAATAAAACAAGTTTTTTAAGGGGGTGCGCTTATAATCGAGCAGGGGATATAAGCGCCACACGCCAATTAAAAGCGCCAGGCGCTTATCCGAGGGTGGCGCTTATACCCGGGGTATGACGGTAGGTCATGTACTAGCATCTATATTGTCTAGCTCGAGGTGCATGTTGTAATTTGCCAGTTGAAATGAGAACGATGCCAAATGATCAGTATAAGAAAGCAAGCTTTCTAAATATAACTACCACCATAAAAATGATGAGCGTTACAGTTGTTGCACAACTGCTAGTTTATCAGCACAAAGACTTGAAGCCTTTGTAGTTGATTAGCATTTTTAATTATATCATCGCAAAGAAGTGCTGCTCGGGGACGGAGCATGGTTCTTGCTAATATTCTGGGCTGGGTGTATATATATATATTCATGTAGGGCCTTGCCGCTGCGCTGAGCCTCCTCCTGGGCCATGGCTATGCCCTCGCCCACATCCCTAGCCACCCCACACGCTGCCAGCCCTGTTCCCGCACCTGCAGGTAGACACAGGAGAGGCGAAAGGAGGAGAAGCATTACTAAGGGAACATGAGAACATGCTGTGGATTGGGCCTTTCCGTTCATGTGAGATTGCTGGGTGCTGAACGTGCTGCTAGACATGAGCTCACACCCTGGGTTCGAATGGGAGGAGCGTCTGAGGTAATCTATTGAGGGACGCGAGGAGTGAGGAGAGAGGAAAGAGCGAGAGGTGGCGGATGTGAGAGCGAGGGAAACGAGAGCAGGAGGTCAGTGGCTCAAGCACGTCTGTAGGGCTTGTGAGAGAGGCACGGAGAGAGGGACATAGTGAGACGTGGAACAAGGGGGGAGAGGAACAGTGGAGGAGAGGGACAAGAGGGGAGAGGGGGATGAGGGACAAGGGGAAAAAAGGAATAGGGGGAAAGCGAGAGACAAGGAGGGAGAGCGATAGGAGGGGGAATAGGGACAGGGGGGGGAAAGGGACAGGATGAGAAGAGGGAGAAAGGGGAAAGAGGGACGAGGGGCAGAGAGGGACAGGCGAGGGAGAGGGACAAAGGGGGAGAGGGACAAAAGGGGGAGAGGGACAAAAGGGGAGAGGGACAAAAGGGGAGAGGGACAAAAGGGGAGAGAGACAGGCGAGGGAGTGGAACAGAGGAGGGAGAGGGGGTGGCGGTTCGAGTGAGGCGGACTGACCCATGGGATGGACTGACTGACCCATGGGGTGGACTGACTGACCCATGGGGGAGATCTCATCGAGCCCATAGGAGTGCACCACCAGCGCTCTGCAGATGCCCAGGCGCACGAGGTCATGAGGTCCACCTGGTTGGTCCAGACAAGTGCAGAGGGATGCAGAGAAGTGCATGTTCAAGCCACACACATGGTGTGTGTCGCATCATGGTGTGTGTCGCATTATGGTGTGTGTCGCATCATGGTGTGCGTCGCATCATGGTGTGCGTCGCATCATGGTGTGCGTCGCATGGTGTGCGGACGATAGTGTGAGTCACATCTCCCACTCACCCCCCTGCCGCCACTACTTCGCGGAGAGAGAGGGATGGGAGAGGAAGGGGGGAAAGCACTCGAACAAGCCTGTGTGTTGCTTTTCTCATTCATAGGGTGACGACACTCGTCAGCACACAAACACGGACCCCAAACCTCGTGGTCCCTGTGTGCGGAAGTCGCGTGCACCTCTATTCTGCCACACCCACACGCATTGCCGAATCCAAGCCCACACCCCACACACAGAGCGAGTATGGACGCCCGTGCTCATGTTGACAGTGCCATCCCCCCCGCCTTGCCACCCACATCCCCGCCCTCATCATCCCCCACCCCCCGCCCTCATCATCCCCCACCCCCCGCCCTCATCATCCCCCACCCCCCGCCCTCATCATCCCCCACCCCCATGCCCTCATCATCCCCCACCCTCATGCCCTCATCATCCCCCACCCCCATGCCCTCATCATCCCCCACCCCCTCGCCCACAACATCCCCCACCCCCCTGTCCTCATTATCTCCAACCCCCTACCCGCATTATTCCCCCACACCTGTCCTCATGCTCACAAACGCGTCGTGGGGGTTTCGACCCTACGTGCAACCCCCCTGCCCATTCGGATTCTCGTCAGTGTAGGAAAATGCATGTTTATGAGGAAACAGAAAATAATAAATTATAATGTAACAGCATGCTTCGAGTCAGTACGCTTTCATTGTCGAGAGCGCAACGAGGCTCGAAAGGCCGTGTCGATCCCGCGTCGGCGCGATCCGTGTCTCGAACGCGATAGGCCGGAGGCGTTCGCCTAACCCTAGATCCGCTGGATGGCGTGGCCACCCTTCCAATAGCGCCACGTTGTCGTTTTTGAAAGACTCGCTCCTACTGCTAGTAGCAGCTGCGGGTCGCTTCACTGGTACTGGATGGGAGAAGGTGTCCTACTAAGGAGCGACTCGGTGGGAGAAGCGTGGTGAACGGGGGACGTCTTTACCATCATAAAAAAAATCATCCGCTGAAGCATAATCTCTAAATCGCAAGAAAAGAAGTCGAGGGAGATGCTAAGATAACTAATCTTGCAATGTTACACCCAAGCAACAAGGTTGCCACCAAACCAAACCCTAAAACGAGCTTCGTAGAGCTAGACAGAGTAGGGAAATGCGCCTCGTAATATGTTCTCGCTGCATTTATCTGCTGAAAAGAGTGGGATTGCGAAATGCTAAAACAACGAGGAGCACAAACCAAATCTTTGTGTAACCACCCGCGAAACGCTTCGGTGTGGTTCGTCAAATGAGCTGAGTTACCAGCCACGACCCTGAAGACCAGCAAATACAATAATCGTGAAGCCTCTCGCCCCGCCTAGAATTCCGCCTAGACCCTCTGCCTCGAGAATTCTGGACAATTATTCCCGGCTCACTGTACCCGAAACTGATTCAACGACATTGCTTTCCTTGGAGCAAATCCCCGAGAATGACGGAACGGAATGACGCCGCTCCCCAAAACAATTATCGTAGAGGCTATCGCCTTCCCAACCTTCGACTCGCGAAAGAACTACAGCCGTTTTCGTCGGCATCGCAAAGCAGTCAGTCTGCGACGAGGACGAAATTATTGTTATTCTGAAGCAGAAGGGAGGACATCCATGCGGCCGACTCGTGCCGAGCAGTTCGTGCAACGAACCCACAGTTTCCAAGTTCCGATTCTTCCCGACTGACGCAACCATATAAATTTCTTCCTCCACTAAATCATCATATCGATTATTGCCCCCAGTGCCCAGTGCGTCCGATATTAGAGCCCGAGGTGTCTTCACATCAGCAAGCTCCCGCAAGCTCTCAGCGGATCTTTCCCTTTGCTCCTTTTCCTCGATGGCTCGAGTTTCCAAGGTCGGCGTCTTACTGTGTGTGGTAATCATTCTGCTTGCTCTCGCCCTCGCCCCTGCCGATGCCATGTACGCCACGTCCGCTGATCTGAACCGCGAGGGCACGTGCTACCGCGGCCAATTCAACTACGGCGAGAGTTCGGATTTCGACTACGGCATGGTAGCGCAGGTGCCTTCGGGCGATTTCAACAGCGGAAAGGGCTGCGGAAGGTGCTATGAAGTCTCCTGCATGAACCACCCGAGCTGCTTGGAGGGCAGCGTGCTGGTGCGAGCGGTCGGCCAAAACGGCGACTTCAACCTCAACTTCGCCGCGTGGGACAGAATCGTCGGCGACCGGGCCGCGGGGCGCGTGGAGATCGATTACCGCAGCGTGGACTGCTCTAGCAACGGCGGCGTGAAGGTCAGATTGGTCGACGATAGCAACTCGTACAACTTCGCGCTTCAGATTCTCGGCGCGGCGGGGAGCGGAGGCGTGGAGAACGTGGAGCTGTCGAACGACGGGTCGCAGTGGACGAGCATGACGACGTACGGATGGGGCGCCACGTGGGTGCTGAATCCCGCCAAGGACGTTGTCGATGCGGGGCTCCCGGTGAGCGTGCGCGTGACCGGCAGCGGGCAGCAGGTGGTGTTGCAAGACGTGATTCCGAGCGGATGGAGCGCCGGGACGACCTACGAGAGTGGCACCAACTTCTAGGCCAAGTCGTTGCGAGATGGGTATATGGGTTCAACGGTTGCTGCTGATAACGTGACGAACTGTAACGAGGTGGTGCGGCGCACGCCAATGCGTGCAAATAATGTAGCCACAAGGGCATCGTGGTGTGCAGGCAGTGAATAAAAACCCAGCCAGCTTTTCGCGGTGGATGGGTTGAGGCTTTATCAGCCCTATAGGGTGATCCGATGAGATGGTAGCTGTTCCACTGTCATCCTTTTCAAATTTCAGTCAAATAAGATTGGTACACTACACGCACCCGAAACACGTCATAAAAAAATTAACATCTTCAGGTGTGCCAAGAAAACTAGAGGCCCTTAACTTTAATAGCGTTATCTTTCACTATGCAAAACTGCATGTTTGTTGTGAAAACGAGTGACGTTTATTGATCTGCTTTCTACATTTGAAATGTCTGCAAATGCCAAGACCTGCTTGGAGACACCTATTGAGGGGCTTTGGTCATTGAAAATGAACAACACTCTCCTCCATTCCAGTCTCTTCCCAACTCTCCTTCCTCCTCCCTTATGTACTTGCAGGCAACTTTCTGCTTTTCCCTTTACGGCACTAACTACCATGTTGATTGCCTTCAATACGAGCCAGCTCCAAGCTGAAGTCGACCTGCTCGGAGCTCTCGATCTCGTGGTCAATCCTAACAGCCATGCGGTCCTTGTCCTCCCCGAAGAACTCCTCCTTGAGCAGCAGCAGCTCTGCCAGCACACGGCTCATGCCCGGGCGAGACGCCGTGGGCATGGCGGTGCAGGTGAGCGCCAGGCGTGCCATGCGCAGCACCAGGTCGTCCGGTGCTTGCAGGTGTGGGTCTTTGAGGGCCGCCACGTCCCCTGCTGCCACTAGGGCTGCTGCCTGTGAGTGGATCAATCGGGGGAAGTAAGGGAGCAGGGGAGGGAAGAGGCAGAGGAGAGGAAGGGAGAGTGAGGATTTTTGGCAAGAAAGAATGGATGTGCAAACAGACGTCATGAAAAGGAGGATAGGTATTCGAGAAGAGGCAAGGGTTTTGGTGTGAGACAGACCCACTGCTTGAGGTTGACTTGGTTTGACTCGATGTTGTAGATGGCCTTGCGAGCCGTGATCACCGCCACCATCACCACTCCAAAGCTGCAGACATGTGGGGGGCAGAAAGGGAGCAAGCAAGGAAGGAAAGGCAGGCAACAAGGTAAGAGAGCAAGGCAAGCAACAAGGTAAGATAGCAAGGCAGGCAACAAGGTAAGAGAGCAAGGCAGGCAACAAGTTAAGAGAGCAAGGCAGGCAATGAGGTAAGAGAGCAAGGCAGGCAACAAAGTAAGAGCGCAAGGATGGCAGCAGGGAAGGGAAGAAGAATGTCAGAGTAGCAAGATTCAGGCTGGTGTTGGTATGGGATCATTTTCAAAAAGCCATGCATGAAACCTGCTGTGCTGTTTATGGACAACAGAGAAACGTTACCATCAAAACTAGTGCACGTGAGTAACATATCACCCGCACCTGTGCACGTGAGTAACATATCACCCGCACCTGTGCACGTCGGCCTTGGGAGTGGCCTTGTGGGAGCGGTAGTAAGCGGGGTCCACATAGCCCGGCGTGCCCATGACTCGGGTAGCGGCCACAGATGTACCTTCCCCAAGTCGCACCAGCCCAAAGTCAGCGAGCTTGGCGTGCATGCGCGCGTCCAGCACCACGTTGGCGGGCTTGATGTCGCGATGCACGATGCTGAAGCCGTGCAGATACTCCAGCCCCCGCGCCATGCCCGTCAGGATGGCGAGTCGTTGCTGCATTGTGAGCGGGTGGGGTGCACCTGGGAGAGAAGGCATGGCAGTTGGGAGTTGGGGAGGTAAGTGTGTGTATGGATAGATTGAGAGTCTTGTGTTGCCATGCATTGGAGCCCTTCTGGTTCATAGCATGGATTGAGAGTCTAGCATGGGCTGAGGGTCTAGCATGGGCTGCATAGAAGCAATAAATTGCATGAGTGTGTAAATCTGGAAGAGGAGAGGTTGTTGAGAGTAAGTCCGGAACACAAACAAACAATGCTGGCTCGTCTGGCCCGAGGTCACTGTTCTCATACACCACGGTCACTGTTCTCATACACCACGGTCACTGTTCTCATACACCACGGTCACTGTTCTCATACACCACGGTCACTGTTCTCATACACCACGGTCTGCCTACTTCACCAGTGGACTTTCCAATCCAACCACTGTTCTCTGTGGCTTCTCAATTTGTCTCAAATCAGACCGTATCGGCTCAGCTCACCTGCTCCGATCCAGCGGTCGAGGTCGCCGTTGGCCATGAACTCATAGACCACGATCTGCTACATGTGCTCCGCCTCGTAGCTCATGTCAAAGCAGTACCCCAGCAGCCTCACCAGGTTCGGATGGCTCTTGGTCGCCATCTCGTTGATCTGCAGGGGGGGTGGTGGGGTGGGAATAGGCAGGGCGGGTGGGGGAGAGGGGGGGAGGGAAGCAGGCCGGTTTCTTATAATTCTCAAAACCAGCTACCGCAGCAGATTTGGATGGCTCTTCACCGCCATCTCGTTGGTCTGAAGGGCCGTTGTGTGGGAGAAATGTTCCGGGTAAGCAGGTTAGGGGAAAGAAGGTTGAGAGGAAGCATGTTCGGGGTAAGCATGTTTGTGGAAAGCAGGTTGGGGGGAAGCAAGTTCGCGGGAAGCAGGTTGGGGGAAATCAGGTTGGGAGGAATTTGGTTGGGGGAAAGGAAAACACCCTACAGACAAGGTTGGCAGCGACACCTCGCTCGTACCCCGTAAACCAAACCAATGCCAAGTATGATATGCTTGGTAATCGCAGAGCTTGATACTGCTGAGATTACCAAGCCAATGCAACACACGGCAGGGAGTCTCACCTTTCGCCGGAAGTCATTAGTACTAATGACTAGGGACGCGGGACGTGGGCTCGCTTTTGAGAATTGATAAAGCCTAAGTGGCACAGGGCAGGGAGTCTCACCTCGCGTCGGAAGTCGTTGGTGAGCACGCGGGCTCGCTTCACAGCCCACACCTCCTTGGCATTCCACGGATTCACCCCCTTGTACACATCGCCAAAGCTGCCGCTGCCTATGCGGTTGCTCTCCGCCCACCCTCCCGTGGCCCGAGCCATCTCCTCAAAGGAGAATCGCTGGCACACGTCTGGCCCAGGACCCGCTGCAGCACGCAGCAGTGGCTGCACTGCTGGCTCTGGATCTCCCACTCCCATTGCTGCAGCAGCAGCTGCTGCTGCCGCAGCTGCTTCCTCCGCTGCCCTCACTGCTGCTGGTGCTGCTGACTGTAGAGCTTCATGAGATGATTTGCTTGATCCCCTCTTGACTCCTGCTTGCGCCACCTCTGAAGTTGCTGTTGCTGCTGTGGCTACTGCTGCTTTTGCTTCTTCTTTTGCTGCCATTGTTGATGCAGAGGGTATGTCAACAACCACCTGCCCTGGGACCAGTCCACTTGCTGCTGCCGCTGGTGGTGCTGGTTTTGTTGCTGCTGCTGCTGCCGCTGAGTTTCCATTAGATGCCCGGGTCAACCCCTTAGGTACCTCTGCAGTGGGTACTGATGTGATTTGCTTTGGCGGCAGCTTGAATGATGTGACACGTGACAAATGACACTCTTGGGATCGTGGTGTAAACTTGGAGATTTTTTCTGCAGAACCTACAGGCATCGGCGTGGGAATCATGTGCCCACCCTTGCTTCCAAGTTCGAAGAAGCTCAGTAAGCCAGCCCATATGTGCTTTTTATATTCGAGAAAACAAGCCAGCATAAGCGACAGCAGTGCGACACCAATCAAAAACCCCCACACAATGCCCGCGACAATATTACTATCCATTGCTATACACTCTGTTGCTGCTGAGAGCCCCTGCTGCTGATTGCAACGGGTCTACTGTGGGAACTGAGAGCCCCTGCTGCTGATTGCAACGGGTCTGCTGTGGGAACTGAGAGCCCCTGCCTTGACACCACTGCCTCTGGGCGATTGGAAGCGCCTTCCTCACCACCCCTGCGGGGAAATGGAGGATAAGCCGCTGCGCAAGAAGCTCCTTGTCAGATTTATATGACATAGTTGCTGTAGGCTATAGTGGGGTAGCACATATGGGGTACAGGGTTTCTAGGGTTGTATTTGTACCCAATCTTTCCTTAGTCATTTCATTCCTGTTTTCTTTACTTCACATGGTATAGAGCGGGTCCTACCTTAGGACCGTTTTTTTTTAGGGCCCACCGAAGCGCGCCCCGAGGCGCGCCTTTTTTTTTAGCGACCCCCTCGGGTCGCCTTTTCCCTCGCGGCCCCGCTGTCCCTCAGACGCGGCCCCGCCACCTCTCCTGATCGCGGCCCCGCCGCCTGTTTGACGCGGCCCCGCCGCCTACCCTGACGCGGCTCCGCCGCCTTCCCTGACGCGGCCCCGCCGCCTCCCCTGACGCGGCTCCGCCGCCTCTCCTGACGCGGCCCCGCCGCCTGTCTGACGCGGCCCCGCCGCCTCCCCTGACGCGGCCCTGCCGCCTCCCCTGACGCGGCTCCCCCGCCTCCCCTGACGCGGCACCGCCGCCTCCCCTGACGCGGCACCGCCGCCTCCCCTGACGTGGCTCCCCCGCCTCCCCTGACGCGGCCCTGCCGCCTCCCCTGACGCGGCTCCGCCGCCTCTCCTACCGGCCCGCCGCTGCTTCTACGGCCCGCCGCTGCACCTGCCGGCCCGCCACTGCACCTGCCGGTCCGCCGCTGCACCCAGCGGCCTGCCGCCTCTGGCGGCCTCGCCGCTGCACCTGCCGGCCTCGCTGCTGCACCTGCCGGCCCGCCACTGCACCCTACGGCCCGCCGCCTGCACCTGCCGGCCCGCCGCTGCACCTGCCGGCCCGCCACTGCACCTGCCGGCCCGCCGCTGCACCTGACGGCCCCGCCCCTGCATCTCCTGGCCGAGCCGCCTCAGCAGCCGAACCGCCCGTGAGCCGAGCCGCCCGATGCCGAGCCGCCCGGGACCCGAGCCGCCCTGCCGCCGAGCCGCCCGGGAGCCGAGCCGCCCTGCACCCGAGCCGCCCAGCCGCCGAGCAGCCCGGGAGCCGAGCCGCCCTGCGCCCGAGCCGCCCAGCAGCCGAGCCGCCCAGCACCCGAGCCGCCTTTCAGCATACCTACACGACCTGCCCTGCCTGGTGAGCACAGTCCCACTGACACTGCGAGCTCCTTCCTGCTGAGTTCTGCGCTAAGAACCCCCCCCCCCATGTACATCGCTCTCTACTACGTAGTCGCGCGCCTCCCTGACTCCCTTCGAGTCGTCAGGGACCACTTTCTCGCGGTCTGTCCCACCACCCTCACCGTCGACCTCCTCGAGAAGGCCCTCCTCGCAGCGGAGAAGAGCATAGTCGCTGTAGGTGCTTCTCGTGGTGACCCTCGCACCCCCATCTTTGAGGGGTGCTCTCCTTCCCCCTTGCTGCCCTCTGTTGCCTCTGCTGCTGCTGCCGACCTGCTTGGTCTTGAGTCGGTCGACGCGGCGTCTGCCCCTAGTGGGAGACGTCGCTCCAGCAAGGGCAAGGGGGGCAAGGGCGCGGGTGGAGCTGGAGGGGGCGGTGGCGGTGGCGGCGGTGGCGGCGGAGGGAGTGGGGGTGGCGGCGGGACTAGTGGCGGGGGTGGTGGTGGTGGTGGCAGCAGCGGCGGAGACGGTGGTGGTGGTGCCAGCGGTGGTGGTGGAGGCAGCGGCGGAGGTGGAGGCGGCGGAGGTGGAGGCGGTGGAGGCGGCAGCGGAGGAGGCAGTGGTGGTGGAGGGGGTGGATCTGGTCGGGGTGGTACCCAGCAGCGTAGCGGCGGTGGTGGTGGCCAGCGCTCGCAACGGCAGCAGCAGCAGCGCTCTCGGGACATCCCTTCGCCTCAGCAGCTTCGTGAGTGGTACGCTGGGCGTCAGAGGGGTGGGGGTACTGGTCCCTGCACCTACGCTCTTCGTTCCGGCGACCGCGCGGGTGAGCAGTGTGGGGGTGCCCACGCCACCCAGCGCTGCTTTGGCCGCCTGACAGACGCCTGGCGTCAGCAGTTCCCTGGGGCTAGTGAGATCCCTCGCTGGGATGAGCTTCTCAGGGCTGGTGTAGCGATCTTTGATCTTGATTTTGATGCTATCCTTACTGCTATGTATGTTGTGGATTATAGTGAGGAGAATGAGGGTTACCGGTGTTTCCAGCCCGACCCGGGCATTGGTACTGCTGCGCTAGGTGCTTGTGAGGCTGCTGCTCTAGGTGCCAGTGCGTCTGCGCTCTCAGGTACTGGTGAGACTGCGCTCTCAGGTACTGAGTCGTCCTCGTCCTCCCTCACTTTCACACTTGACTCCGGAGCTTCTCGCTCCTTCTTTCGAGACCGCACTACCCTTACGCCGCTCGGCCGGCCGGTTGCAGTCTCCCTTGCTGACCCCTCTGGGGGTCCTGTCCTGTCTCACTTCTCCACTGTCCTCCCGTGTCCGGCTGCCCCTTCGGGCACCCTGTCGGGTCTGTACCTTCCCTCGTTCTCTACGAACTTGGTGAGTGGAGCGGACCTGCAGGATGTGGGTGTTCACCAGTTCACTCCTGCGAGTCAGCGGGTGACCCACTACACGGAGGCACGCACAGGCCGACACCTGGCCACGTTCTCGCGTCGGCCGGGGTCGAGTCTCTACACCCTGACCGTTGAGTCTCCTCCTGTCCCTGCGTCTGGTCAGGTGGCTGCGTCGGGTCAGGTACTTGCTGCTGCGTCCCGGTCAGGTCCTGAGTCTGCCCCCTGTTCTTGTCGCCTCCTGTCTCACGAGACTCTCCTATGGCACCACCGTCTTGGCCACCCCTCCT